GAGCCAGACTTCAGTCCACGCACTGGTCCCACCCTCAGGACCCAGCCTGCAGACCAAGTCAGAGTGTGAGCGGCTTTGGGAAGCTCCAGCCAGATGGGTGGGATGAAAGCAGAGCGGGTAGGTGCCTGGAGCAGGCCAGGCCGCTCTCCAGCGGGCAGCGGGCAGCGGGCAGCAGGAGAGCTCAGGGAGGCAGGGAGGCCGAGCATGAGTATTGCTTTGTACAGAGCTGGTGGCTGTGGCAGACCAGCGTCCAGAGCCAGGCTGTGTGGGGCCAGGAGGCTGGAGCCCACATGAGTCTGAGCTCCCAGACGCACCCTGGTCTAGAAACAAGCAGAAGAGAGCCCCAAATGAACTGCAGGCAGCTAATCCCCAGACAGGATTCTCAACGGTGGCTCAGAGCACGTCAGCCCTGCCCTCCTTGACCCAGCAAACAGCCCCACCCTCAGCACCTCCTCACAGGCCAGGCCCCACCAGGATGAGCCTGGGGAGGACACAGGTGCCTCCAGGGACTGTCTGCTTTGGCGGATTACATCTCCTCTGAGGCAGCCTCCTGGATGGCCACACCTCCCGTCCACACCTGCTGGGGTCCCCTGGGAGGGCTCCTTTGGCATGTCAGAGGTGCGGTGGCCTGGAGGGAGACAGGAGGTGAAGAGCAGTGCTAAGGGAGGTACTGGAACATCCCCCTAGGGTGTCTGGCCAGCAACCCTGGAAACTAAGACCTCCCGTGTTTTGCTTGTAGGAAGGAGGCGGCTCCAGCCTGAGGAAGGAAGCAATCTCCAAGCCCTCAGCTCCCCAGGCATCTTTGCTTCCCGGGCCCTGGCCAGGGCACTAGCCGAGCATGCTACATGCTGCAGACGCATTCAGCGGGCAAAGCTGCCGGAGGAGGGCGGTCAGGGTTCCCAGAGGGGCCTCGCGTGGCCAGCTGCAGTGGATGCTACATTCCTCAAAAAGGGTAGCAGTGCTGGGAGAGGCAAAGGTGGAACAAAGAACGAGACAGGAAACTCAGCAGGGACCACCAAGAGAAGGAACAGGCAGGACACTCGGGCTCTGCCCCGGGCACAGGACCAGGCAGGATGGACCAATGGCCACCCCCCATTCCATCCCTGGACCGAGGGGACGTTGTGTTTACACAACACTCATTTGGGTTTCTTTTTAACAAGACACAGAAGGACATGGATTTTGGCCCATGTAGTCACCAAGACTGACTATACCCAGACAAATGAACAGATATAACATAGTCACACACACACACACACACACACACACACACACACACTACACTCTCCACCGCCAGCTGGGACGAGCCCAGTAGCCAACAGGCATGCAGCAGGGCGAGGGGCCAGAAAGACGTGAAGACTATGTACAGGGGAGGAGGGGGGCCAGCAGGCACCCCTTCCCACACCACATCCAGCCTCTTCCTGAGGTCCTTAGGTGCACGAGGGGCTGGTGGCACTCTCCAGGGAGGACTGGGACAGGCGCCGGGTGAGGGATCCGAGGGTCGAGTCTGCCACGGAGGATGTGGGGAAGAGTTTGTACCAGCCGGTGACGGCGGCACTCAGGTCCAGCTCATCCAGCATGATCTGGGCCATGCCCATGAAGCACTTGTGGTCCATGCGGCCGTAGTCTCCCCAGACGATCACCTACCAGTGGGAGAAGAAAGAGGAGCTGAGCCACCTCCCTGACTCCAGGGCTGGGCAGTGGGTCCAGGAACCTACAGGTTTCACCAGGGCACAGACGGATGGGACAGAGAGAGCTGAAACTTGGACTGACTTCAAACAACTTGCCGCCCACTTCACACAGGCTCCTACGGACTTTAAGTATATCATCTCCATTGTTGCAACCATCCAGGTAGAGGTGCTGTGTGTTATTTCCACGAAGAGGAAACTGCCGCTCAAAGGGGTTAATGAACTAACCCAAAGACACACAGTCATTGGTGGCAGAGCTGGGCATGCACCCTGGGCCTGACTTCTGGAGGTCCCAGCATCCCAGATGGCAGCCTTCTCCGGGAAGGAGCAGATGGAGACTCCAGTCCCGCTCTGCTGCGGCTCATGGTGGGGCCTGGGCAAGCCTCTTGCCCTCCCTGGACCTCAGGATTCCCATCCATCCATAAAACTGGGGGAGGGGAATAGGTTAGCTCAGTCATTTTCGAACTTGTGTTTTTATTGGTGAATTCTTTTTTCAAAATAGAATTCCGATATATATAAAAATGGACAACCAAGACCAAACTTTCCCCCCACAGAACCCTAGGGCTCATCAGTTCTTGCTGTTTGCAGCTCCAAATGCCTTTGCTATGGAACCACCTCAGCCCAGAGGAACAGCTGTGGATGAGAAGTCCCACAGCTCAGACAGCCCCTGCCTCAAGCCTCTCCTCTGTCACCGTGGCCTCAGGCAAGGCCGACAGCCCACCGCGACCACCACTGTTCAGAGTTAGCGAGTAGCCTTCTGTGTGACAGGCACTGTGTGAGGCCCTCTACAGGCATCTCTCATTGGATCTTCACCACATACGGCAGCTAGTAAGTGATCAAACTTGAACCTGAACCCAGGGCAGAACCCAGAGACCGACCACCCTGTGCTCTATCCCTGTAACCACTTGGGTGCCTAGGCACTTCATCTATGAAACAGGCGTGATGATCCCTCTCTCCCGGGACCATGGTGAAGGGTTTGTCCCGCTCAAGGGGTGAGAGTCACCTTGACCTGGGCTCGGCTCGGCTCAGCAAGTCCCCAGCTGAAACCTCACGCCAGCCACTCCATCTTTCTGCTTCCTCATTTGTAAAATGGGAGAGTCACACCTGCTTCACAGGTTCACCTGGAGGATGGGGCGAGGTCACAATGGAAAGCAGCTCACAGCCTGGTGTGGAGCCGATGCACAATGCACCAGCGCCCGGTGGAACCTGGCAGTCCAACTACCCTCCAAACCTTGGTTTCCTCATGAATCAGCCGGGGGCAATCACACCTCACTGGGTCGTGAAAATAAATGGGCAACACATATTCATGCACCTGGCATTAGTACCGGCACAGGAAGTGTCATAAATGAAACGGATTTCAAATGATGACTTGCAGTCTTGAGTGTTGCCCTCTCACACTCACCTGCAGCACCTTGCCCTGGGGCCCCTCGTCGAAGAGCAGAGCCTGCTGGTACAGGGGGTCACAGGTCTTCTTGGCCACCTTTGTCTTCTTCTTGGCCAAGCAGGCCCCATTCTCAAGCAGGTAAACCTTGATATAGGTGGCTAAGGGGTGGGAGAAAGCATGATGGGGAGGGGTCAGGAGAGACTGCTATGGCCTGTCCCATCCCCAACCCCAAGGTGACCGTGGAGGTGAGCAAGGTGAGTAGGATGAGCTGGCCAGTGGACAGCAGGTCAAAGAGATTGACTCCTCTGTCCTCCCCTACCCCCACCCCTATTTCCTGGCCTTTGGGGCAAGTGGTAACTCCAGTGTTGAGAATACTGATTTAGGCCAGTGGGGAACTAAGGACTCATTAGACCCAGACCTCAGCAGCATCCTCCTCACCGGCAGGACCCCAGTTCCAAAATCCTTCTCCCAGCTGCTCAGCCTCACCTGGGAGAGATTTGGAGCCAGGTTTGGGGGTCAGGCCCCGAGCCTCGATCACTTCCACTTCCAGCTGGCCACTCCGGTCCATGATGGCAACGTGCACATCCCCTGCAAGGGAGAAGAGGGACAGTCCAGGCAGAGCCAGACGAGCCACTGTGCAGAATGCCAGCCTGCAGGGCACTACCACCTGGAAAGGGCATGAGATGAAGAAAACTGCATGTGGGAGAACTGGCCTCAGGAGACACATTAGAGCAGCCGAGGAACACAATCATAGGTCCCTGGGGGTGGGGTGGGGGCATGACCCTCCAGGGACATGCTTGGGGACCCAAAGTGGCTGTCAAATGCTCATCTAAGTGTGGCGAACTGAGAAGCTCCTGTTTTACTGAGCAGAATAGGCAAGTTTGGTGGAAGAGCTTCTGGAGTCAGGAACACAGAGGGAGGCTGTGGGCTCAGGGGCTCTTATTCACCTTCTACACAGCAGCCCTCAGCCACTCCCCTAAATACATGTCAAATATTCAAAGACTATCAGCTTGAAGAGATGCTGAGATATGAGCCTGCCCAGGACAGGAGCTACTCCCTGGGAACCAGGGCCTGCTTGCATCATCGCCAAAGGATGAAGGGAAGGCTGGCAGATTTCCTGGGAGCAGAGGACTGAGAACTCCTCACTGTGCTGCCACAAAACGGATTATCCAGCTGGGGCAAGTTCTATGTGTGGAATCGTGTCAGTTATCTGATTTCTAGAACTCTTAGCATTAGTCACTTGGAACACCCTTCCAAGCAGTGCAGAATCATAGCCTGATGTCGAAAAACTAAAATAGAGCTGACTGTGGGCTTAGGTACCCATTTTAGATTCTCTAAGCCATTATGCAATTGTTTGTATTTGCATACTTGGGAAGATGCAAATACAAAGACATTCTGGAATTTGTCCCCCTTTCTCTACTCTTCCTGACCTCCCCACAGGGAAGTGGAGGGGGATGTCTCAGGAATTAATCTCCTGTCTCATTATAACACCCGCAAGATGAGCAAACACAAATCTGTCATGCCTAGTTTCGGACACCAGAGGGCACCACACGCATAATTCTAGGCTGTGATGGCGCATTTGCCTATGACACGCGTGTCAGAGGTGACACTAGAACTCATTTTTTTTGGTTGATTTTTCTTTGTTAAATGGCATTTAAATATATAAAATAAACATCAAAAATGTAAGTCTTTGTTTTACTATGGTTGCAAATATCAAAAAATTTCTATATGTGACATGGCACGAGAGTTAAGTTAGGGTTTTTCAAAATGCTGGCACGCCGAGCTCAAAAGGTTCGCCATCACTGGCCTAGTGGAAGTGGCTGCTCCTCTCACTGCCTCCCAGCTCCTGGCTGGGCTCAGGGCTGCTGGGAAAAGCAGACTCCCGGGCCCCTAAGAGTTTGAAAGCAAGTGCTGAGAATTAGCCAGTCCAACCCAAGAGCCAGCTAAGAGCTCACCCTGTGGTCGCACCCCTCTTCCCGCAGACAGAGAGAGGCTCCTGAATGAGCAGGGGGAGGAAGACAGGGCAGTGCAGTGGGAAGAGCCCTGGCGGGAATGAAATCCCAGCTCACTGTATGGCTCACAGCAGGGTGCTGTCTGCACTCAGCTTCCTCATGTGCTTGAGGCCAGTGCAGAGGTCTGGGTCAGACACTGCCTGAGTCAGACTGTGGGGAAGAGGGTGGCCAGGAGGCGTCTCTGGGGAGGCTAGGCCTGGGAGCAGCCGCTTGAGCCAACACATCCACTAGCTAAGGGAGAGGGAGGAAGGAGCCAGGACTGCAGCACAGACTTCAGGAGCTACTCCTGGCTACAGGAAAGGGGGATGAAAAACTACTAAAGACTTCTAGGTGCCAGACACTATTAGAAGTCAAATAAGACACAGTCCCTAGGATCAAATGAAATACTTCAGGCAAAGCATGAACCTCCCCCCCCCCTTCAATAAAAGAATAACCTCTCAATCAATTGTTGATAGTGAAGGCAGGCATTTCTATTCCCATTTTATGAGGGAACAGGCTCAGAGAAGAGACTTCCCCAAGGCCACTCGGAGAACTGGCGATAGAGCCGGCCCCCTGACAACCAATGCCCTGATGATCTGTTCACCATTTTCCGCCCAGCACTTAGCAGAGCCGGCAGAGTGTGGTGGAGCGGAGCGAGGAGGAATGTGCTGGGAGAGCTGCGGCGGCGGCCTTCCCCTCTGCGGAGGGAGGATGCGTGAGTGCTGTGCTCGCTCTGCGCTGGCAGGGAAGCCTGAGTGAGGCTCGAGTCACGCAGGGCTCTGCTGATCTCACCCTTTCTGCCATCACCCCACTCGCCCTACCCTAACGAAGACTCACCCATTGGTGGAGTTGCCAGCGTCTGTCGCCCCACAATCTGGGCTGGTCCCAGCCCATCCAGGAAATCGCTGAACTGGCTTTCGGCCCCCAGCCGGGTGGTGGGGAAGATGAACCTGGGGAAGGAGGCAGAGGGGCACGTGAGGGCATCTGGCTGGTGGGATGCAGCGGCTCTGCCTCCCAGGCACTGGGCACTCCCCTCTTGCCTGAGTTTCCCCTCGACATAGTGTAGTGTACTACGTTGGCTGGGGACAGTTTGAAATCAAGTCAATAAATGAGGTGGTGCCCCAAACAGCCAGAGTCCAAATTAACACAATTATAGGGTTCAGATTAATAACGAGTGGTGGTAGGTGCCCCATGGTTGTGTGTGTCTGGGGGGAGGGCGGTGGTGCTGGAAAGCAGTAACAAAAAACTGACAGTGACTGAAAGTTGACCATGTGACCATGTGTCAGTGCACTGAATGCTCCACGTGCCTCATGCAATGGAATCCTTGCAACTACTCTATGTGGCAGCAGCTATTATCCAATTTTACAGATGAGAAAACAGAGGCGTCCAGAGGTAAGAGACTTGCCTACAAAACAGAGGTGATGCCCAACTCGCGTGGGTTTATGGTGAGAATCGGGATAGATGGTGCGTGAAAAGTTCAGACAAACAGAAAGCAATATGTGGTAGTTATTGCTGCCGTTGTCACTGAGGGAAAAGCGCTACTTGTGCATGTCCTTAAGGTGTCCTGGGTGTGCCAGCAGAGAAAGGACAGGTGAGGGGGGGCTGGCCCAGGTCCACTCATGAGCTACAATGGACCAAAGAAAGCCCTAAGGCCAGAGAGAGTCAAGGTTGTCCCAGAGCAAATCCCCTGCTGGACCGCTTGGCCTTGAGTCCCCCTGGGCCAGTGACAGGCAGGGAGGAAGACAGGCTGTGTGTGTGCTTGTCAGAGAAGCCGTGTGTCCCCCCTCACCCCCACCAGGAAGGGGTTTCAGGCTCACCCACTCCTATTGGTCTGTTTCGCAGGTAGTACTGACATCGCTCAGTACCGTAGCGAGAGTTAAAAGACAGTGTTTGGTCTGATAGTGCTCACTAGATCCCCGAATAAGAAGCACTGATCTGAAGTGCCCGGTGATACCCTGCATACAGTAAGACACAATACATGCTAGTGGCTATTTGCATTCATGGCTGTAGGGACAGCAGCGAGATACATGAGCATAGAATCTTAAATAATCCTGAAATCATTGTGCCTTCATGAGGCCAAATCAGAAAATCTCAGTTGTATACCGTAGTTTCACAATGTAGAAGAGATCGGAGGGACTTGCAGGTTTTTGACTGCAGCCCACACGCAGTCAAGTGTAAGAAATACATTTAATGTCACAGACCTATGTGCGCCCACACATTAAAACAACCGACACAGGAGTTCACAAGGCAATTCATCCTCACTCCATAGGGCACAACCGAATCTCTATTTCTTTTTCTAATGCTGGTTTTACCCCCTGAACTGATTTCACTTCCTGCCTCTGAGTTACCACCCACAGTTTGGAAAACTCTGATCCAGTCCCATCTCCTTCCCTGAGCTCCAAGCAAGGCCACGTGTGAGACCTCCACTTATCGGAGACATAACGATGGTTCTAGATTTAAAGGGTTGGAGTCACTTTCTCCTTTCAAACCCTCTCCTCTGGACTGGGGCCGCGTGTGGGTGCTGGGAGGCGGGAGGCATGAAGTATACAGAAGGGAGGAACCACTCCTAGGCCCCTGGGCGAAGGCTGGGGCCCTGGCATCGGACATCCAGGGGAGGGGAATGGAGGCAGGTAGGGGCACAGGAACACAGGCATCTGGGTTGATGTTCTCCAGGTGGGAAAACCAACTGGAGATTTTCCCGCCCTGCTCTGGCTCTGGGACTAGAGGACCCAGGAGGGAGGGTCCAGGGTGGGGTGGGCTGCACGCACGTGCCCTCGGAGCTGTTGCTGTTGGTGCTCCCATCGGTGGACTCCCGGCTGCCCTGGCGCGTGACCCGACTCCGCATCTCCACGGCGATGCCTGTCTCCGTGCTCCTCCGGATGTTGCTGCGCAGCTTCTTGGTGGTCCCTTCTGCGACCGGTCCCCCACACCAAGCACAGAGAGGGAACAAGGTCAGATCACCAAGGAGGCCTCTCTGAGAGCGCTGCTCAAAGTCACCCTCTCAGGAGGGGGCGTGGTGGGCAGGGCTGTGACCGGAGACAGGGGCATTGCTGAGATGACCTCTAGAGCTGGTTTGCAGCTGACCCCTGGCCTTGCTCAGGGCAGTGACACAGACAAAGCCAATTAGAAAGATGGCTGGAGGCAGAATCGGGAAGATGGGCTGGGGGTGTGTGGAGTTACCAGGTAGAGCCCCCCTCCCCTCCCTGCAGCTCTTGGGCCGTCATCCTTGCCAGGCTCCCCAGACAGCTACCTTCCCACTCAATTTCAGCCTTTGCTCCAAAGGGTTGTGCTCCTGCCTCCCTCTTCTGGAAAGTCTGCCTTTTGCTGAATTTGCTCTCCCTCATGCACCTGTCTTGCTCAGACCTCACAGCCACCTCTCTGATACCTTCACAGGCCCTATAACAACCCCGATGGGAGGCCTGGGCACTCCAAACTAACATGCATTCTCCAGGTGGGTCTGGACATGAAGAGGCGATTAGGGAAGCAAGAGTAAGAGAGGATGGCTGGGTCGGCCTGTGTTGGCGATGGCTTTGAAAAGAGGCCTACAGGGGACCCCAGAAGCTGTGCAGTGAGAACTTGCCCCCCACACCCCCCGTCTCTGTGTCTCCTGTTCACAGGGCCCTCTACCCCCATCCTGCCCCATGGCTCAGCCTTGCAGGGAGCATAGGACACTATGCCTCTCCTAGCAGCACACAATCCAGTCTGGGTTTCCATGGCAACCTATTCAGCATTGCAATGTGGTCCCTCTAGACACCCTCCCCTCCTGGGGCAGTCAGGGTCACAGAAGCCAGGTTGAGGGTTTACATGGATTTCCCCTGCTAGAGCTTGGCTGCCCGAGGAGCTTGATGGGGAGGGAAGTGCTGCTCAGATAGGGACTGTACCAAAGGAGCCCTCTGCTATCACTGGTTAGAGACCCAGGCAAATGAAGAATGAAGTTGGCTATAGGGGAGGGGAGAGGTGGAGGGGGGGGGTGGAGCAGGCACTGAAGCCCCTAAAAACAATGAGGAAGGGGGAGCTGGTTACCCTGGCAACCCACCCATATCCAACGGTGAGGATATTCAAGACCTGCCCTGGGAAGAGGGGTGCTTTATTCCTCTTGCTTTGTCCTACTTATCTTTCAGGAAGTCCCACTGGGTGAGGAAAGGCTAAAAGGGTTAGCGTCACGGGCAGACAGACGGTGGAGGGATGGGCACTGGGAGTGGGAGGTGGTAAGGAGAAATGTCTCCTTTCAAACCATAAACCATCCCAGCTTCTGGGATATTGGAATAGCTAACTATCCAGGAATCAATGAGACCATCCACTTGTCTGTCTGTCTGCCTGCCTTACACACAGTCATGTTAGCTCACCTATACTTCTTTCATACCGACAGGCATAAGCAGACACACACAAGTGCTGACAATCACATTTATGAAGACAGTGACCCCACATACAAGGTTATGAGTATGTTCATACAACAGTCACAAAAGATACTTCCAGGGTTTAATCATACATACACAAGACATACTCTGTCACATAAATGTGTCCTTCACACCATAACACTTGCAGTTGAACCCATCCATTCAATCACACACAGAGATGCACACCCACAAAGAGTGTGTGACCCACCACACACAGTGGGCTGGGCAATAACAATGGGTGTTGAGGGACTCGCCCTGTCCCTGGCTCCTAACTGCCAATCCCCACTAATGCAGTTAGAAGACAGACAGGTCTGTGGGAGCTGCACTCTAACCTCCCTCCCCTCAAATCCTCCACACACAACACATCCTGAGCTGAAGCCAGAGCCTTGCCACCATATGACCCCAGTGCCCTTCTCCTAGAGTTTGGGAAAGCTTTGACCCACTTGGGAGAAAATTTCCCTTCTTTGATCAGACCTGTCCAATCCACTGTGATGCCTAGTAAGGGAATCACAGAATCCTTGAAATGTTAGTGACACCTTGGCTAGCCCCCTGCCCCTGCCATTTCACAGATCGGGAGCTTGACATCCATAAGGCCGACTCCCAGTCTACTGACGCGCTACTTCTCACTCTTCTCCACCAATTCCACATTGATTTGAGATGTGATTCAGCAGAGACTAAGTCCCGTGTCTTCTGGGTGGGGAGAAAGGTCTTGCAACCTTAGAGAACATTTCTCTACTGTTTCATACCTGTCCAGTCCCTGAACTCTGTTGACCCAGGGAGTAACTTTATAAAGCCTCTTTCCAGAGAAACGGGGCAAATTGCTTGCAATAATTCTGTGGTTGCCGGAGACTGAAAGACTCCAGGAACCATCCCATCTGTCTCACTGCATACAAGGGAGAGGCAGTCACAGCTCCAACAGCACTCCATGGCATCTCCCGGAATGACGCTGAGCCTTCTCCCCACCTGACTCAGAGCCCAGAGCCCATGAGGAGCTGCTGTCCTCGGTGCTGAAAAGAGCTCAATGTGGGCAGGAGCGGGGACAGCCCAGGATGGCCTGTGTGGACCCAGTCTAAGGCTAGGCCAGAAGCCACCTGTGTCCTAAGACCCCAAAGCTCTCACCCTACCCCATTCACTGCTCCCACAACATAGAGAATGTTAGATCTAGAAGAAAGCTTGGAGAGAGTCCCTTCTAGCTCCATTTCCCAGAGGAAACAGGCCCAAAGGGAAAGTGTCTTTCCCAGGGTCCCATGAGGAGTTGAAGCCAGGATTAGTTTTTAGAAGCTACTCTATGGCAATGTGAGAAATAAACTGGAAGGGGTAGGCAGGAGGCAGGGAGCTAGAGGGAAGGCTAGTGTAATAGTCCAGGCTTTGAAACAAAGAGGAGGGAGTGGGCAGAGCTTGAGCCAATGCAGGGTATGGATAAACTAGGAGGAAGGAGGCCCCTGGGAAGGCAGACCCAGAGCCCAGAAGACTGGGTCCAGGACAGGAGTTCTTCCCCACTTCACACAGCCTAGCCCTGCAGGGAACTGAGCCATCCCACCTGGGACAACCGGAGAGACCCTGCTGGGATCTTTGCCCAGAAGAGAGTTTCCAGAGCTGATTCCCAAGGTGAGTCAGCCCCATACATCCCTCTGGAGCCAGACTCTCCCACCCAAGCTAGGACACTGACAACTCCAAGGCTTGGGAAGAAAAATAATGGGACACGGAATTACAGATGGGAGAGGGGTATGCCACAAGCAAGGGGCTGTGAAAGCCAGAGATCTCACTTGCTTTTTGGCCCTACTGTTTGACTGTGGGAAATATTAATAACACCGACAATGTTATTAAGTGTCTACTATGTACAAGGCTGTTGCCTTTGCATCTCCTATGTCATTTAATCCCCTGGAAAACTCTGAGGCACAGATTATTGTCCTTATTCTACAAACGAGGTGGCGAACTCAGAGAGGTGAAGTCGCTTGCCTGAGTCCCCAGCTAGTAAATGACAGGGTGTGGCTCTTCTTCAGGCTCTGATGCTTTATCAATAAAATGAGTACCTTGGACTAGATGAACTCAAGGGGCCTGTCCTGCTCTGACATTTGGTGACTGGATGATTCATAGAGACCTTCAGTTAGAAGGGCATCTGTGTATTCCCCTGGCTCAGGCCCCAGACCTTCAGCCATGCCCTTGCCTACCACAGGGACAAGTGATCCAGAAGCCCCATCATCACTCATTTCCCCTCGAGGCTGGGGGTCTCCTTGGTGTCCACTCCAATCCCTGCCTGCTGACTGGTAGTCTAGGTAGGTGGACAGTCCCAGGCAGATCACTGGACTATCTCCTAGTGACTCGGGCCTGCCCTGGCCCCGAAAGACCGTTCCTCCAAATCGCTTTGGGCACAAAGGAGCCTCAGTTGGAGATCAGCAGGGCTTGGTCTTTTCAAGCCAGATTCCTGGGGCCCAACATCTCTTCAACCTCCTAACCTTAATACGCCCCCCTTGGTCCTGCCCCAGCCCAACTCCTGGATCTCCAGGCCCCTTCCTCCTGACTCCCTTGGGTCAGGCCTACACTGTGGACATTCACAGGGGCCATGCCCACCCACCCTGGGGCACTGATAACTGCAAGCCCCCTTCTCACTTAGCATTTCCCTGAGCCAGAAACCACATCACAGCCTGCATGCTGGAAAAGACCATCCCACGTGCTCCTGTGGAGGGCTTTATAAAAAGCTATTTTAAGGCCTGGAAAAGTCCCCCACCCCCAGCCCCAACTGGGACTCTCGATGAGCATTCTCCCCGGATGCTCCGGCACCCCCGCCCCCTCACCGCCCCCATCCAGCTGCCTATTTGAAGGTTTCTCAGGGAAGTTGTTACTCTGAGAAAAATAAGCAGGAAGAGATTTTAATACACAACCAGCTGGTGTCTGGGCTGATGCCACACAATGAGGAGGTCTTGGTGGGGAGGGCTGGCTCCTCTGTGATGTAGGGTCCAGGGGTGACTGTGTGTGACAAGGTGGGTTGCCCTCCACTCTGAGCATAACTGGGATTCCATAACTAGACGTCTGAGCAAGTATAATACACTTGTTAGGATGTAGCTGATAAAGTGTGTGAATATGGGGTTTTGTGAGATATGGGTGTACACATGTGTGACATGTTTCTGTGACCATGGACACTGTGTGTGTATTTGAGAGAGGGAGAGAGGGAGAGAGGGAGACAGAGAGAGAGAGAGAACACTTCAGTGACCTGGGTCTGTCTGTGTTTGTGTGAATTGCATGATGACTGGCTTTATGTGTGACCATGTACAGTGTGAATGACTATCTTGTCCTTTCCTGCCAGTAGGGTGTGGCTTGCTTAAGCAACTGAGCGCACTATGCATATAAGCAGGTATAACCAAGCAAGGCATGTGTCTTTGTGTGTATCTCTCTCGTGTGACTTTGTAATGTATGTGTGTGACTGTGTAACTACATTTGTGTGGCTCTTTGTACTTAGGGAACTCGGAGATCACCCGTGAGGCTGAATCGTGGGGATGTGTGTGCCTCTGAAGTTGTGACACTTCGCAGAGGGCCAGAACCTGGCAGCTGTGTAATAAACAAATGCTGAATAATGTGTAAGTTTGTGCATGGAGGTGGCACAGGGTAATGGTTAGGAGCATGAACTCAGAAGCCCAAATGCTGGGGTTTGAATGCTCCTACTAGCTATGTAGTTTGGGGCATTTAACTTCCTTTCTCTGTGCTTCAGTACTTGCCTCACAGCGTTATATGAGGATTCAATGAGTCAGGACATGTACTGGACCTAGAATAGCGCCTGGTATATGGTAAGTGCTACATAAGTGTTTGTCCCTGGGTGCAAGGTGACCCGCCCCGCCCTGGTGCCCCACGCCCCCTCACCAGGCTGGGGGAGCTGGAGTGTGCTCTTGCTCCACTGGGTCAGGCCCACAATGGCCACCATCTTGGCGCCGAGGCTGCTACGCCGCTTCTTAGCAGTGGTGGTCCCAGTCCCGGGCCCGGCCTGCTGAGATCCGCAGATTTCACTGCTGATGCTGGAGCTCCGAACCACATTCCTGGGGCCTGCAGCCGAGGCTGGATCTGGCTCCCCGTTAAACATGGTCCCAGGGGCGGCAGAGCCTCAGGCAACTCTATGGGGAGATAAAGAGACAAAGGGGGTCCCACATCAGACCCCTGGGCCCTCTACTGCAGCCACCACTTAGCCGTGTGACCTCAGGCAGATCACCCGGCCTCTCTCAGGTTGTGAGGCTTCAATGAGCACATAAATGTAAAGAGTGTTCACAGAGTCTGGCTCAATAAATGAAACTATTCTTATTAGCACATGGCTACCCTGGCAAGCAACGGGGTTTGGTGGTAAAGGCAGAGGCTGTGGTGTTAAATGTCCCACTCTCGAATTCCAAAGGCCTCTACACCTGTGGTTCTCAACCTTCCTAATGCCGCGACCCTTTAATATAGTTCCTCATGTTGTGGTGACCCCCAACCATAAGATTATTTTCGTTGCTACTTCGTAACTGTAATTTTGCTACTGTTATGAATTGTAATGTAAATATCTTGATATGCAAGATGTATTTTCATTGTTATAAATTGAACATAATTAAAGCATAGTGATTAATCATAAAAACAATATGTAATTATATATGTGTTTTCCAATGGTCTCAGGTGACCCCTGTGAAAGGGTCGTTCGACCCCCAAAGGGGTCGCGACCCACAGGTTGAGAACCGCTGCTCTACACACTAGCTGTGTGACCTTGGGACCAACAACCCGGGGTTTCGGTGAACACTTCAGCAAAACAAGAAGTACAAGCACTTACCTCATAGGATTGTCCTAGGGATTAAATCGGTGCCTGTGAAAGTGCCTGGAACAGCATCAGGCATAGAGTAAACATTCAGTAAGTGTTAGCGATTGCTAATTCACAGCCAATAACAACAGGGAGAGCAAAGCTGGTTCCAGCCTGTGCGGGCTACGAGGAGGTCCTCCTGCTTGAAAGGGAGTGCACAGAGGGGTATGAAGAAGCAGGCAAGAGGCCCCCTCAACTGCACTACTGAGCAGCAGCCACTGTAAGCTCTTTAACCTATTTCCTCACAATCTCTTTTCTATGCATCTACAAAAATAATGGAATTCATACTACAAATACAATGCTATACCCTGGTATTTCTCATTTATCCTTATATCACAAACATTTCCCAATGTCATTAACACTTTGTATAATTTTTTTAAATAAATGGTCTTTTAAAAATGTTTTTAAAATATATATTTTCGTTGATTTTTAGAGAGGAAGGGAGAGGGAGAGAGAGATAGAAACATCAATGATGAGAGAGAATAATTAATCGGCTGTCTCCTGCATACCACCTACTGGAGATCAAGCCCACAATCCGGGCATGTGCCCTGACTGGAATCAAACTGTGACCTGGTTCATAGGTCGATGCTCAACCACTGAGCCACACTGGCTGGAGGGCTAAATGTTTAAATGTTTTGATGCCCGAACATCCCAATTTATGGAGGTAGCATAATTAACTAAAACATTTCAGTATAGTTACTTCTTAGATCAGTTCTAATTTTCTTCTTTCTCTCTGTTTCTCCATCCCTCTCTTTCCTTCCCTCCTGTCTTTTAAATAACACAGCAATAAACATCTTTCTACATTGATTTTTTCTGCTTATTTCCTTAGGATTGATTCCCAAAAATGGAGTGACTAGTTTAAGGGGGTGTGGACACTGCTGGTAGCTTCTCCAACATCCATTCTCTCTCCCTGCTTCCTGACACACCGGTTTTATCCAGTACCACCCCACCACCCCGCCTTGATTAGTTTAAGCTAATCAATGAGTGTCAGTCACCTTGGTAACTCTTACTGGTCCATGTGACAAAGTTGGCCTAATCTGATTTAAGGGAAAGATTTGGTTTCCATGATTACAAGAGAGGTGGAGGTCTCTCTCTCTCTCTCTCTCTCTCTCTCTCTCTCTCTCTCTCTTCCTCTCTGTGTGTGTATGTGTGTCCTGCCTCCCCTAGGGAAGGCCCAGCCATAGGATGAAGCCAGCGTGCTGAGGGCAGCACAGCACAAAGACAGAAAAGGCCTCGGGCCACCCTAAGCTGGCCTTTCTGTTATTCGAGATAATGTATTTTCCTTTGCTTAAGTCAGTTTGAATCAGGGTTCTCTGTTACATCCAAAAGCATCCTACCTGATACCAAGGGCACAAACATTTTTTGATTCTTGGAATATATTGCTAACTTCCTTTCCAAAGTATACAAATGGACTCCCCCTTAGCTCCATTCAACAAATATTTAAGCCCTTAAACTTCCAAGGCCTATGTTGAGTGCCAAAGAAACAGTAGTGAGCCAGGCCAACTTCACCCTGCCCTCCCAAAGCCTCCACTCCAGGAGGAGATAGATAGTAAACAGCTAATAATGCAATTAAGTATTTCAGGACGGTTCTGATGACTGTAGGGGAGAGGACAGGGGGCCCTGGGAGCCACTCTGGGGGCCAGGCAGCAGGCATCTTTGGCTCTGTGTTGTACAGAGGTGGGATCTCTGGTATCAGCCCTAGGACTTGGCCGACAGTCCGATGCTCAGGCAGAGTATTGGAGAGGAGGCTGCTCTCGCATGCTCTGCGCCCAGTCCGCCAGGCTCTGTCCCAGCCTACAGTGCTTTTCCCTGGGCAGCTCCCTATCCCAGGGCTCAGGGGCATTTTGCTTGACCCTCTGCCCTCAGGTCTGTCACCCTGAGGAGACCCAACTTTTCAAAAGCACAAAGAAAGGGGTGGGAAAGGGAAGGCATCCCTAAAACTAATGAGGAAGACAGATCCTAGGCAGCTGCAATGGCTGCCTGGTCTTCCGGTCGGTGTGGCTCCTGCGGGCTGGGAATTAGGGCTGCCAGTGGGGATGAGTCAAAGCCATGTCTTGCCTTCTTTGTGGCTGTCTGGACTGTTCTCACTCACCCTGCAATGTGTGCAGAGCCCCGGATTATATTTCTCCATCCATCCCCCATCAACATTGCAGCGAATGGAAAGTCCCCTGGACTTGGGCCTGTGATGATCTCTTCTCTTTACTTTCCAATTCTAGTGCCAGTTGGGGTGTGTTTTGGGGCATCTGCACGGCCTTTTGGTGGATGGTGGGAGAGCGCTTATCTGATACTTTGAATCTGCTACAGCGTAAGCCCAACTTGCTCTTGACAGTACTTGTTAGGTGTGTGGTTATCTCCATGTTGCAGATGAGGAAACTGGCTCTCAGAGATGTGGAGACCTAGCTCATCCGACTCAGCTAAGAAGTGGCAAGGGCTGCACTCGAACCCAGGTCTCCGGTTCCCACAAAGAGTCAGACATACTCTGCAGCCCCTGCCCCTTCAACCCAGAACCCACCCCAACATGTGGGCTTTGCCCTGAGTCTCTGGGCTCTCTGAGAAAACTGCCCCAGAGCAGCCAGACTACAGGACACTCATGTACACCACTCCCAGGGGATGAGCAAGTAAGAGGGTAAGGGACAAAATTCCTGACCCTGCCAACCCAGGGACTCATATTTCCTCATGAATAATCCATGGCACCAACAAGCGGATGGCTTGACATCCAGGACTCTGCACCCTCCAGAGCCACATTCTCAGCTTTAACCACCCAGGGGCCTGAGAGCTGATGAGTGCCTAGAGGGCGGAGTCTGTGAGCACACATGCAGGGGCAGGCTCAGGACGGGGCTCTAGTTGCTTCTATGGCAGCCAGTCCAGCTCAAGAAGGACAAGCCAGAGAGACAGACGGAGCTGGCCACCTGGCCCCTATGAAGAAGGAAGTCCTACTGCATAGCAACCCCTGAGCCATCAGGCTACGGGGACAGGAAAAGGGCAGCAGACAGAGGGGCCCGGAAGGATACAGAACACAGAACCTCACGTTCTGGTGGTTTAAAAGATTGCTGATTGAATGACATCCTTTCCACAGAAATCACTTCAACAATTCCCACCTCTGAGCAGGACTCTCCTTTCCCAGCCCAGTTTAGGGCACCCCAAGGAAGGGAGTTGTCCCCCGATCCCGTTGGATCAGGGGGCCTTACTGTCAAGTTCTCCCTGCTGACCCTGCTCTGTGGCTACAGCAGCATCTACAACTACAGCTCAGACTCACCTTTCTGTTGGCGACCGCTGCTCTGGAGGAAGCTGCTGCCCTGGCTGGTGCTCCGACTCCCGCCAAAGCCCCACACTAGCAAGTACCGCCCCAGTTCCCCACCGAACAGGCCTTGTTTTCTTCCCGGCCCTTGATGTTTGGCCGAGGTCTGAGTACCCAGCTGATGAGAACGCGCTCAGGAGTTGAAACTGATTTGCGTCCCTTTTCCATCCTGAGCCTTTCATTTTGAGAAGTTGGAGATCAAGGTCCAGAACGGGAGACACACCCAGTCCCAGAAAGTTGGTGACAAATCAGAGCTCCAACCCAAGGCTCCTAACTCCCAGATTCCACATCACCTGTCAGATGCCCTCCTCACCACTCACCTTAAAGAAAACCCAAACTCACCAAACTGATGATTCTGCGCGTGGTGTTCCTCATCACAGGGGGCTGTGCCCCTCCCAGCAGCACTCCCCTAGGGCATTGACAGGAGGCTTCTGTTAACTTCTTCTGGGACACCAGTTTTCAAGGAAGGAGGTGAAGGTAATCAGGGTAGCTCCCAGGAGGAGGTGATGTGATAAGACTCTGGAAGGAAAGAGGAGAGCTTAGAGGAGGGACTAGAGAAGACATCTGTCTTCAAGAGCTTCCAGAAGCTCGTGGAGTAAAAAGACAGACTTGGGACATAGCTATATGACCTCGGGCAAACTATTTCAACTCTCATTCTGTTTCCTCCTTCATAAAACTGTCCAAACTCCTGGGTCCTCCCCTCTCCCACCACACCACCCTCCCTCCAGCCCTTTAGGAACCTTTAATATCAAGCTGCTGGAGCTGAAGCTCCAACCACAACTTTAAGACTTCTAACACATGGAGGACTCATGTTAATCAGCTCTAGACCCTATTCTCCCTTCCTCTGTCCTCCCCCTGACTAATGGGGTCTGTGTTCCTCCCCAGACACTCTGTAACTTGCCCAGCAGTCAGGAATGTTGAGGGTAGGTCAGGTGGGGAGCAGAGGGTGGGGACTCCTGACTCCACCCCCAGCCATGTGACCCTAAGCAAGTCACTCAGCTTCTCTGAACCTCCATCTCCTCTTCTATAAAATGCACCTACTGGCCACCTGGACCCAGCTGGACTCCCAGGCTGGACTGGGGAGCAGGTGAGATCATGAGGAGCAGGAAAGCAGAGTGATTACAAACCCAGGCTGGTTTGGCTCAGTGGAGAGAGTGTCGACCTGCGGACGGAAGGGTCCTGGGTTTGATTCCAGTTGAGGGCACATGCCTGGATTTCGAGCTCAATCCCCAGTAGGGGGTGTGCAGGAGACGGCCGATGGATGATTCTCTCTCATCATTGATATTTCTATCTCTCTCTCCCTGTCCCTTCCTCTCAAAAATCAATAAAAATACATTAAAAACCCATCATCAACAACAACAAAACACAAAAACCCCAGGCTTTGGAGGCAGACAGGCTTAGTTCAAAACCTAGAACTGCCATTTATAACTGTATGACACAGGGACATTTCCTTAGCAAACCTCCTGAGCCCACCCTTCCTCATCTCTAAAGTGGGAATAACAATGACAGCCTTAGGATTCTTAGCTGAAATATAAAATAAGGATTGGTCCGTGTTAAATGCTCACTTGGGCAGTTACATTATTACTACTCATAAGGGTGCCTTTGTAAACGGCAAAGAACTGCACAGGTGTTAGTGCTTACGGGTCTGGATTACACACCAGATGCAACCACTTCACGAGGAGGCTCAGAGACCAACAGGGTCACCTCCCACTCCAGCTCTGGGTGCTTCCTGAGTGTGGAAGCGCTGGGTCCCTGTGCCTCTCAGTGGAGTGGGAGCTGCCATGTGAGGCTGTGCTCTCTTTTGCTAGCATCTTCATGCCTGGGCCCTCGCTGGATGCTGGACCTGGCATTTGAGACCCCTGCCCCAATCCAGTGCCAGGGCTGTGTACTACATCACCCATGTCTCTGTCAGAGGCCAGTGCCTGCATCCACAGAAGGGGAGAGGAGTACCCTTGTTTCTAGAATTTCCTTTCCCCCTCAGGGACATACTGGTGGGTAAGAGGGCTGGTACATGGTGGAGAGGAAGGCTGGGCTGAAGGAGCACACCCAGCCTGAGTGGGGAACATTGTGTAACCGTTATCTCCCCCAAGCAGGCACACACACACACACACACACACACACACACACACACACACACACACACCGGGAGAGACAGGGCACAGAGTTTCAAATTTGTGATCACAGGCCATACAGGCCCACACAGGTGATACACACTTAAAGACACAATCACATGCACACATACCTTTAAAATACTCAGCCACACAAAGGCACACAGCCCGGCCAGCATGCCTCACTGGTTGAGCATTGACCTATGAATCAGGAGGTCATGGTTCAATCCCTGGTTGGGGCACATGCCCAGGTTGTGAGCTCGATCCCCAGTAGGGAGCATACAGGAGGCAGTCGATCAATGATTCTCTCTCAACACTGATGCTTCTATCTGTCTCTCCCTCTCCCTTCCTCTCTGAAATCAATAAAAATATATTTAAAACGTGTGTGCACACACACACAAACAAAGGCACACAGAAGGAGCCACACTGATAGTCACAGGCCTTCACACAACCACATCTACACACACACACACACACACACACACACACACCCACACCCTCCCCTTGACCCTCTCCAGCCCAAAGACACAGGGAGAGCTCTATCCCTTTAGAGGGCAGGTTCCCAGGAAGTGTCTTACCTGGATCTGTGGGTTCCCTTGGTCAAGGCACACACACCAGCTCTAAGCTGGTGCTTGTGTGAGCTTGAACACATACACACACACACACACACATACACACACACACACACACACACACACACACACACACACGCTCCAGCCCCCAATCTCACCCACCTGGCCCCCATCCCAGAGGCCGGACAAAGGAGTTCATCGGTGAGGTTTGTGGTGAGGAGATGAGAAGGCTGGCAGGGAGCAGCTGCTGTCACCATGGCTACCGAACTGACCCACTTCTTCTCCACCCAGCCTGGCCCACCCCATCACACACAGTAAAGGGGCAGCCCTCTGAGGGTGTGGTGAGGGATGGATTGAGCATAAGATAGGCTGCGCCCTGCATGGGAAGGCAATATCCAGACACCCTTTGAGGAGAGCAGGGTGCTAAAGAGATGGCCCCTGCGAGACCTAACCCCTGGTCTCCCCCAGCATCAGGGTCTCTGGCCTCAGGAACCCACATGGGTCATGCACTTGCCCTGGACACATTCTCAGACACAGTTCTCACAGCAGGGCAGGATGTGGAGTGGCCAGGCCCAAACCTGTGTCCCCCAGACTCCAAGGACTCAGGACATACATAGTGAGGCAGACTCAGAGCTGGGTGAGCCCTGTGTCCTGTTGGGAACGAGGTTCCTGAAGGAAGGCTTGCCTGCCCCCCCTCAGGCCAGGGTTGCTGGGGCTTGGCCATGCATCTACCCTCAGAGACGGGGACAGGGAGGAACAACGAGCCCTCAGACAGCTCAGTCTTGTGAAGCAACAGCTCACAAAGCAGAATGAATCACTCCTGTGTGACAGCCTCCCGTAGCTCCCCACTGCCTTCAGGAGAAAGTAAAAACCCCTCACCAAGGCCTACAAGCCAAGTGACCCAACTCACCCCGTGCTCTTGCCCCTCCTCTGTATTCCAGTCACACCGGCCTTCTTTTCATGCCTTTGTCAGCAGTCTGCCTGGAGTGCTCTTCTCCAGCCTGCCTCCACCCTCCTGCTCTGAAGCCCCGACGTCTGCTGCACTGCCTGGGCCTGGCTGATCCCTCCGCATTGCTCAGTCCCAGTTTGAATGTCATTTCCTAGGAGAGTCTCCCCAGATGAGGTGAGTCCCATGTCATGCTCCCCTAGACTCTGTACTGTCCCTGCCTGTTGTGGGTTGCATTGTGTCGCCACACAAAAGACATGTTGAGGCTCTAGCCCTGGTATCTCAGAGTATGACCTCAGAATAGGGTCATTGCAGATCTGATTAATTAGGTTGAGATCATTCTGGAGTACAGAGGATCTGTAATCCAATATGAACAATGTCCTTATAAGAAGCTAGCCATGGCCCGGCCAGTGTGGCTCAGCTGGTTGAGCATTGTCCCATGTACCAGGTTGCCAGTTTGATTCCCGGTCAGGGCTCATGCCCGGGTTGCAGGCTTGGTTCCCAGTAGGGGGGCATGCAGGAGGCAGCCAATTGATGTTTCTCTCTCACATTCAATGTTTCTATCTCT